ACCCTCTTGGCTGGACTTGGGACTCCCAAGCTCCCCATAACCGTATGTCCTTCTTCTCGCCATGGGTTGCACTGGAAGTGGTAGACTGGAATTAACTCACTGGAATTCCAGTAACTTCTCGTTGGGATCACAATTATAATCCTTTCTGGACTGTGATGAATATGGGGAAGGGTTCTCTACAAGACAAACACCCAGGTGATGCCACCATAAGATGACGTGAGCTGACTCCAAGACTATTCTATGAAAACAAAGCAATAGATCGTAGCTTTTACTTCTATAGAATAGTCACATCTTGTTTGCTACGGTTCACCTTACAAAAGGTTTTATGAGGTTGGAAGTACTAGTGAACCCAGGACCTTTGCACTGAGCTACAGACCCAGCATTCCCCTCCTTTTCATCTTCCTTTGTGGCAAGATCTCACTAAATTGCTAAGTTACCCGGGCCGGGCTCAAACTGGTGATGCTCCCTCCTCGGCCTCATTGAGTGCTGGGCTTACAGACCTTTGCCACCAAGCCTGGCTGTTACTAAACCTTTAACTCACTGAGAGTTCGATTCAGGTGCTAATTGACATTCTGAAAGGATAATAATCATGCTGAAATGAATAGGACCTTAATTTAATGTCTGAATGACTTTTATTGTGAAGTAATTACCTGGTTCAAACATTCATGATCTTTTTTTTTCAAACATTCATGATCTTAAAGATAAAGAATATTTCCTCATGCCAGGCTGTAAACTACTTCACAGCAGCCTCCCTATAAAAATAAATACATACAGCCCATCCTTGACCCTGTCAACTAAATACCTGCCCAAAAAGGGACAAAGGGAACCTGCACAACCCCTGACTGCAACGGACAGTCTTCCTGTGTCTTCCTGTGTAGTGCAGGCTGGCCCTAGACTCCTGTGCAGCCCACAATGACCTCGAACTCACAGCAGTCCTCCTGGCTCAGCCTCCCAAGCCTTGGAATTACAGGCAAGCATACTGGCAAGATCCCTAGATCTCAGGATCCCTGAGCAAGGCCAACATTTCACAGTGCACACTAGTAACGCACACTCTGTCCTTCCCTCACACACCTGTCTGTCCTTCCCTTACACCTCCAGCTAGAGGTTAAACTCTCAAGCCCTGGCTACACAGGATTGGAATAACTTTCTCCCCGCCCTCCCCGGTGAGGCCAAGAGGACACACAGATTCTTCCCTGGCCAACATAACCAGAAGTTTACTGCTGAGACCAGAATTTCCTAGGCCCTCAGGGAGCCCCCAGGTACCGGCTACACACTTTCAGGTGTTGGACTTGAGCCCCTTTAGCACCTCTGCTGGGGCCCAGTGAGCATGACCCACACCAGTGCCTGGCCTTATTCAGCACATCCATTACCTCAGCTGGAAAATAACTATCAGAACTGTAAAGTTTCTCCTTTGTGCCAGCTTCCAATTTTCTTGATTTTTGTTTTGTTTTGTTTTTTAAAGCATTCTGTTGGTAAAACTTGGAATCCGTTTTTCACATCCTAAAAAGGTTATGAGAAAGCTCTCTCTCTCTCTCTCTCTATATATATATATATATATAAATATATATAGTCATCATGGGATCACATGAAGAAAGAAGCCCAGCATTAAGACATAACCTCTCTAGGGGCTGGGGATTTAGCTCAGTAGCATAAGTGCCTGCCTTGCAAGTGCATTGTCATGAGTTCAATCCCTGGTACTGGAAAAAAGAAAAAAAAAGAAAAGAAAGAAAGAAAAGAACCTTCCTCCTCTTTTTTTTTTTTTTTTTTTTTTTTTTTTTGAGACAGGGTCTCACTGTGCAGGTCAGGCTGGCCTTAAATCCACTGTGTGTACCCCACGCTGGCCTTGAACTCACAGTGCTCCTCCTCCTCAGCCTCCCAAGTGCTGGGATCACAGGCATGCACCACCACACCCGCTAACCTTCCTTTTATTTTGGAAGCAGTTACGTCAGTGGAAACTATTGCTGCTGCTTGGACAAGGAAGTTCCAATGTCATGAGACTGCAGCGTAGAATTCTGACAGTCCCTCTCCTGGGAGCACCTGAGTGCTGAGGGAAGAGCCGGGGCACGTGGCCCAGGCCAGGAAAGAGCTGGTCATTTGGGGCAGAGCATCTGTGTCCCACGGGCTCTACACAGTGGGTGGGAACAGCAGATTGGATTCCAACAGGAAAGGGCCGTACGGGGAGTCATTTCTTAGACAGTAGAGAGCGCGTCTGCTTCTGCAGACAGGAGCAGCTGCTTTGACAGGGCTGCTTTGGTGGAGTCCATCCGAGGGGGAAAATGACACATTGGACAGGTCCGCCTCAGAGGTCACAGCCTGCATTGCGGGTGGTTTCAAAGTGCAGGGCGAGGCTTCACCGGAGTGGACACAGATAGCTGGAAGCAGAGAAAGGACTGATGCTGCAGAGTGCCCTGGAGTGGACAGCAGGAAACTCCTGGGGGGAAAAGTCCCGAGCTGAGAAGCCGAGCTCCTGGTTTACCAGCGACACCTCCCCCACAGGCTGACCCCCATGGTGGCTGGATTGGGGTTGACCCACTGGTGAGCTGGCCCATAGGTGAATGTGCTGGTGGGCACTGGGGAGGACACAGAAGGGTGGGTTCCTGTCCCCTGCCCTTTCCTTCTCTGTCTTTTCCCTGGCTGCTGTGAGTTGAGCGACTGTCCTCTGTCAAGTGCTTCTGCCATGGACTGAATCCTCTTATTAAAACTGCAAACCAGGGACCAGGGGGTTAGCTCAGGGGCTGAAATGCCTGCTTGGCAAATGTGAGGTCATGAGTTTGATCCCTGGTACCAAAAAAGAAAAAAGAAAAACTACAAGCCCAATTAAACTTCTCCTCTTATGTGCAGGGGTCAGGTATTTGGCCCACTGACGGAAGGTGACTGACAAAAGATTCTACCACTTTCTCCTCCTCCTATGAAGATCAAGCAAGACTAAGAGACACTGTCCACTCTGACAGGTAAAGCAAGCCAAGACCACTAGGATCCTCTCAAAACTTTCAGTCCACTTCTGAGGGTGCCAGAGATTGGACCTGGAAATCTACCTTACTCCAAACACTAGTGCTGGTCCTATTTGCACAGGTGTGAGCAGGGGTCCAAGAACCTTGGTGAGAGCTGTCTGGGCAGATTCTTGGCGAACGTAATTTGCATCCAAGCGGGTGATGGACTACATAGTGGTTTAGTGGGTATCTTTCTAGAAGGGGCCCTGGAGGTCAAGGGACCTGTAAGTACATGTCAGTTTCACTACTATAAAAGCCATAGCATCCTGTGTAAGCTACAAACCCTTCTCCACCTCCCCAATTCCTTCAGAACCTGAGTAGGAATTTGGAAATGTAGCAGGGTAAACATACACCTACGTCCTGGTCCTTTCCCTCCTGGAGGTATTTACCTCCCTCCCTAATAAGAAATTGCCACATGACGCCCTTCAACAGCCCAAATGTTTATCAGTCAGTTCCAAGATAAGCAAAGGAAGCATGGGGACAGCACAGTGTTGCTAGGCAATAAGAGTCACACACACACACAACGCAGGTCAGTCTTGAAATGATTACACTGAATGTAAAAAGTCACGGCAAAAGCAGTACATTTGGGAAGATTCCATTTATAAACATTACCAAAACATGCCTACGAATCTGTGGCACCAGAGAGCTGAGAGGTCGGTACCGGCCTGGAGGCCACGATGGGAAGGACGGTGACTGAGGACACGGGGCATTCTTGGGGTGAGGGACCTGCCCCTTAGCCTGACAGTGAGGATGGCCCACACACCAGATGTCTGTCAACACACCCAAGTGAGCACTTCAAGCAGGTGCAATTTATGGAGCACTCAATTATGCCTCATAAAGCTGGGAAGTATGCATGTCAAAAAAGCACATGCGGTTTCCAGGTGTGATGGCACACACGGGTGAGTCCAGCACTCAGGAGGGGCAGGAGGACAGCCGTGAGTCTGAGATCAGCCGGGGTTACCTAGTGAGTCCAAGGATAGCCCGGACATGGAGAGAGACCCGGTCTCAAAAGCTGAAAATAATCTTTAAAGGGCTGAAGCCTGTAGGTTAGCAGTTGAGTCCTGCTTAGGATGCACGAGGCCCTGGGTTCAATCCCCAGAACAGAGAAAGAAGGAAGAGAGGAAAGGAGGAGGGAAGGAGGGGCGGAAGTAAGTTAGGGGAGGGATGAAAGAAGGAAGGAAAGGAGAGAGGACGGGACACAGAGAGGAAGGAAAAGGAGAGAAATGAAAAAAGGAGGTGGGAGGGAGGGAAAGGAAGACAGCGGAAAGAAAAGAAAGGGAGACAAAGGAGAAGGATGAATAACAAAGGGGGAGACGTGGCCCAGGCAATGGGACAGAATAAATCTCCAGAATCAACCCTAAAGAAAGGAAAGCCTAGACAGAGAATCCAAAACAGTTACCACAGAAATAAATGATCAGTGAGCTAACGGGAAACACAGACAAAATCAAAAACATGATGCCTGAACAAAATGAAAATAACAACAAAGAAACTAAGTAACTAAAACAAGATAAAAGATCATGATCTATTAAGTGTTCATCAGCGGTTCCATGGTAGACTTGGCAAGCAGAAAAAAATAGGTCAGGGAACTTGAAACAGTTCATTTGAAGCCAGTAAGTCAAAGGATCAAAAGAAAAAAGTGAAAAAGAAAAGCGGAACAAGCCTATCGCATTTATGGGACACCCTCAAGGAGACCAGTGCATGCACTGCAGGAGACCCAGGAGAAAAGGCCGTGAAACAGTGAAGAAGTGACGGCCCAAAACAAACATCTCAGGTTTGAGGAAGACAGTACACATGCAAATTCAAGCAGCCCGGGGTACTCTAACCGAGATCAACCAAAGCGGCTCACGTCAAATACGTTATAGTAAACTCCCAAGAGCGGCTTGGAGAGTCCCGAGACGGACTTGTCACGGACAAAGGTGCTCTCGTCAGGCTAGCGGCAAGTTTCTCAGCAGAAAGCTCGCAGCTCGGAAGGCACTGAGGAAATACACTCAAAGTACTACAGAAAAAACAGCCAACCATGTATAATCTGCCGAAACTGTCCCTCGATAATTTAGGAGAAATTAAAACTTGGCCAGATAAACCAAAGCTGAGTACATTTATCACCACGAGAAATTCTTTCCATGAAATGCTGGACCATCCTTCAGGTTGAAACAATAGAAAATAGCAAACCACGCAAAGATGTCCAGCTCTGTGGTAAGGGCAAATATATTGGTAAGATACAGAATTCAAACGAGTTCATAGTATTGCAAGTGGCTGGATTCTTTCCTTGCTTTCCTCCTTCCTTCCTTATCTTTTTAAAATTTATAAATATATAAAATATATATACATACATATATAAACAATATATAATATGTATATAAATATATATATATGTATATGTATGCTGTGCAGGGTACAAACTGTTGGACTCAAGCAGTATTCCTGCCTCAGCCTTCTGAGTAACCGAAACTATAGGTCTGAATAGCTGAAACCATGTCATCCAGCCTGGTAAGTTCTGTACAGAATCATTTTAAAGAAAATATAAAAAATAACTGCACATTTATTTGAATAGATATGCAATACAAAAAGAAGTGATTTGTGATGTCAATGGCAAGGGAGGGCAAAAAAATATAAAGGAACTGTTGTGTACTGTTGGGGTTATTCTACTATCAATATTAATGAGGTCTTAATAACTTTAACATGTTTTTGTCCATTCTGATCTTTGTCTTGAACTGTTGATCACATCATGGCTATCTCCCAGTAAACAGAATCCTATCACAAACAGGGAGGCCACAGCTGTCACAGGCTCCATAATCTGCCCCTGGCCACATGGGAAGTTCCTATCCATAAATGCACAAGCAGTGACCAGGTGAGTGAGTCACCCGCTATAAGACAACATTCCTGATTTTACATCATTTCAAGAGAGACAGATACTGAAACACATTTTTTTCTTGAACTTATTTTCAGTGTAATTTTATTTAAAAATAGGCAATTCAGGGCTGGGGATTTAGCTCAGCGGCATAAGCACCTGTCTTGCAAGCAGGCAGTTGTGAGTTCGATCACCAGTACCGATAAAAAACGAAAAAGACCAAAAAAAAAAAAAAAAAAATAGGCAATTTGAAGATGTTTAAAAATATGGTCTAACTAAAGGACTGCAGGCTGCGAGCAGGTGCTTTTCTCTCAACAAAATGATAAGGACACAGCTTTCTCATTCCCCAGCTACGCTGGAAGGCGTTTTACAAATGGACACGGGTTCTGCTGACCCTCTCCCCAGCTCTGAAGGAGGAGGGAGCATGCAGCTTACACGCCGGTCAGCACAGGGTGTGAGGTGCCTCAGGTCCCCGGCGGCTCCCAGCTCCGAGCACAGGGAGCTCTGTTCCTAGTGAGACAGCAGACAATCAGGACATGGCGTCTTGAACACTAAGTGTCCACGACACTTTTCAGAGGCAGAAGAGTGTGCCAAGCTGGTAATTAGTGATCAGTGCTTGTGACGGAGATGTCCTCAGGTCCAACTGCTCATGTGTTGGACTAAAATATTGAGCCTCAGACTGTGAGTCCACACACATCAACCGGAACAAAACCAACATTTTGGAAATTCGACATTTCTGGTCTCCACAAAACTCAGCAGGGTCAGCCCAATGTTCCATGTCTTTGGTGTCTAGATTCTAGTGCTTTAGGGTGGCAATGCTTAGCCCAAAGTCAGTCTCCTGTGCCCGGCAGCTATCAGCAATCTGCATGGCAGTCCTCTGAATTAGGGACCATTTTATTATCTCCACTGCTACATAAGAAAGTGAGAAGTCGGAGATGAAGTCACCCTTCCCAAGCCAGATAACTGTACATAGCAGCTACAATGGAAGAAAAGCAGGCAGCCCTGGCCTCACACACGGTAGGCCAGACTCTGTCCAGGGCTGCTGGCAAGCCCGTCAGTGCCTTTCACAGAAGATACAAGAAAACCTTAAAACGCCAATTCAGTCACCTAAAACCTCACTAAATAGTGCTTAAACATAACACAATGTCCAAATACATCTGATTGGACTCAAATTCCAACCACTGCAAACCTGAGTTCTCCTCATAATCAGACCTTGTTCCTAACTTCCTGTCACTTTGAAGTATGTCTGTGTGTCTATGGTTTTCAGGGTCATTCCAGGGAGAAAATGTGAAATGAATCAGAAAGAAACAGTGTGGCTGTATCTAGATGTCCCCACAAAGCTCCGTGAGGTCATGGGTGGGGAGTCTAGCGGGTGGGACCCGGACCGAGGATGTGTGATTCATAGATCACTGGTGGTGTGCTTAGCCCTGGGCAGGACGCGGGCTGCCCCTCTCCGTTGGTGTCAGTGCTACCCTACGGCAGGCAGCCCCGAGGGAATGCAAGGCACAGTGTCCTTGCTGCTTGTCACTTGCTACTTCCTTGCTTCCTTGCCTCTGGCCGCCATGAATCCTCCTCTTCTGCAATTCCCCCTGCCTGACAACCAGCCGGCTGTGGACCGAGCCCTCTATACCTGTGAGCCCAAGAAACCTTCCCTCCTCTAACTTTGGGTATCAGGTATTTTGTCTCAGCAATGAGAAAATAACTAAGACAGAAACTGATGTTTTTCTTTCGACAAGACAGAACCAAAGTTAAATTCTAATAGCTGCTTTAAAAGTGCCACAAAAGAATAATAAATGACGTTTCACAGAAAAAGGGAAACTGGAGATTTATAAAACTACAATCTACCATTTTTCTTAACCAAGTATTTTTTTCACAGTTTATCCTTTTGAAGAAAAAATTTCCTACCTTCATTTCAATCCCTCCTTGGTAACTCAAAGATGCAAATTCAAACTGATGCATCTTCAAAACACTGCCTCTTGCCAGATGTGATGGTGTCCATCTGTAATCCCAGCATTTGGAAGGCTGAGGCAGGAGGATCACCACAAGTTCAAGGCCAGCCTGAACTACAGGGAAAGACCCTGTCCCAAACAAACAACAAACATTCTGTCTCCAGCGAGAAGTTTCTCTTCCCTGAGTGCCCTTTTACAAAAATCAAAACAGCAGAAATAACAGAACTCCCGGAGTTTCATCTACTCACACTGCGGTCACATATGCTGCAAAGGGACCAGGCATGGCGGGGACCAGGCCACATCAGAGCTGTCACATCCGTGGGCAGCCTCCCTTCGCCCACGTGGGATGGAGCCATGAGAGAGGCAGGCGCCCTCACCCCTGCCTGGCACAGGAACTCAGCAGACTCCAGGGTGCCACGTCCGTCACTTGGGTTGCAGAGGTCTCCTCAAGCCGCCAGCCCTTGCCCGTAGGGACATCTGAATTTCCTCAGATGCATTTTCTTGACGTTTCAATTCAGTCAGGCGCTTCATTTCATACTCTCTTTCGAGTCTGACGGCTAAAACAGTAAAATAAAATAAAACCCGTGGAGCACTCTGACTGGCATTTTCCACCAGGTTTAGTGTGTTCAGTAGTGAATCACATACAGCCCGGCAGGGTGGCACAGGCTTGTAGTCCCAGCACTTGGGAGGCTGAGGCAGGAGGATTGCTCTGGGTTTGAGGCCAGCCTGTTGAACCACCAAGATGCGGGGCTACTGAGACAGGAAGCCGTGTCTCTCTGATAATGTGCACTGGGTTGCACACCTCCGACAGATTCTCCAGGACACCGAGGCACTTACACTCCTCTGAAGGCAGCAGCCCTTCCTGTGTGTCACATTTTGAGAGCGGCAAGGAATTCCCATAGGCGAGCTCTACCAGAAAAGGCAGTCTGGAGTTGACTATGTTCAAGTACCAGGTCTTCGTCAGCAGCGCAAGGTCCCAGGGCTCCCGTCTGGGGGTAAAGGCACGCGTTGGTCCAGTACACACTGATTGCGCAGGTGCGTGCAGGGAAGAGGCTCAGGGTTCCTCAGGATGGCAACTCTGGCAGGAGACTGATTGCGCAGGTGCGTGCAGGGAAGAGGCTCAGGGTTCCTCAGGATGGCAACTCTGGCAGGAGACTGATTGCGCAGGTGCGTGCAGGGAAGAGGCTCAGGGTTCCTCAGGATGGCAACTCTGGCAGGAGAAGCGGCCCAGGGCAGGGACCTCTTTGCACTGACCAGAAATTCTATGGACCATAAGTGCCCTGCACCTACCAAGCGGGGTACAGAATGAGGCTTTGAACCCGAGGACAAGAGCCATGCACTGAGCCAGGCGTCCAAAGTGCAGGTGGGCTGGCTAGGTGGACTTAAAATGACCAGCAAGGGTGGAAACTGTCTTTAAAAAAAAAAAAAAAAAAAAAAACTATTCATTTATTTATTTGAGACAAGGTCTTACTGTGCCATTTAGGCGGGCCTTGAACTCACTTTGTCCCCCAGACTAGCCTTGAACTCACAGCGATCTTCCTGCCTCAGCCTCCCAAGTGCTGGGATTACAGGCATGCGCCACCACGCCCGGTGTGGAAACTGTTTCCCCGGGAGAAGATTCAAACCTCGAGCCTGGGATTTGGCTCGCCAGACGGCACTCTCCTGACCCTGCGACTGCAGGGTGGAGAGAACGATGGGGTGAGCTGCATTCCTGCAAAAGCTGTGCCTTTAGACAAGGACCGAGGACCCGAGGCCCTGTCGTGGCCGCCCCACACCGAGTCTCCCTGATCCAAGGCGCCGGTGCTTACACGCTGTAGCAGCTGCCCCGTAAGATGCCCTTCACCGTGTTCTTCCTGGGGAGCCCGTAGGCCATGCCGAGCCGTCCCCACTACGTCCTCACGCAGGGCCCTGGGGCGGTGTCACAGGAGCTGGGCCACTGGTCTGCAAGGATGGACGGCTGCAAGGACCAACCGACAGCTGGCCTTCCCCTAAATGCGTGCACACCAGAGGGTGGTGGACCCAGAGGCCACGCCAAGTGTCCGCCCCTGCCCTCTGCAGAGTCAGCAGCCAAGCAGAGCCACTCCTGCCTGGGCAGGTGCTGGGCACAGGGGGCCCTAGGTGTCCCCGCTACCGCGACAGCAGCTTCTTGCAGCATAGAACTCTACCCCGAGCCACCCCGACCTGCTTTTCTCATCCAAAACCTGGCCTAACAGTGACCTAACAGGCTCACACCTGTGATCCCAGACTCAAGAGGCTGAGTCAGGAGGATCGCAGGCAATTCGAGGCCTGTCTGGACCACGTACAGGCAAACACAGAAGTGGCCTCGTCTTAGCCCCATCCCCGTGTCCCTGCCCTGGCCCTGGGTCCCTCCTGTCCCCTGTCCCCCCATGCCCGCCTCAGGCTCCTACCGGGTCTGGCCAGGATGCGGGTCGGGCCGCAAACCAGGGCAGAGCGCGCGCCAGGAGCCTGGGGCCGCGCACGGGGCCGCGCCGCGCGACCCTCCTCGTCCCTGCCCGCCCACGTCCCGAAGGGCGCCCGCGTCACTGAGCCCAACAAAGGGCTTTGTGCTGCCACAGCTCTGCGCACCGCCTGCGGTGACCCCAAGCGACCGAGGGCGCGGCTAGGGGCGCTGTTGTGCGCGGTGACCTGAGCCGCCGCTGCCGTCTCCAGTGGGGCGGAGTTTCCCATGCTGAGCCCAAGCCCGCGGTGACAGCCAGCTGATGACTCAGGGCAGCGGCATCTGACCCCTGTGGCTTGGCCGAGGGCCCTGGAGTTGGGGAACGGGTCTAGGGGCCCAGTCTGCCACTCATGACCACGACTGGTAGCATCCCCCGCTAAGCGTCACCTTTTGCACGCCAGGGTCACAGCCTGAGTTTCACTGAGGAGGACTCAAGAGGATGCTCCTGTCCCACGGTCAGGGTCCACAACTTGCTTGCTTTAAATTGCACGCATCAGGTGTTTGTCCCAGCAAGAAGAAAAGTGCTTGAGACACCTGTCTGTGTGTGATCCTGGTTTCGAGAACACTTTTCAGTTCTCAAACGCAGAAAGGGGCCAGGGGTAGAGCTCTTGTCTAATATGCAGGAGGCCCTGGGGTCCATCCCCCGGACCTGCAATAAAAATCATAAGGCGGTGAATGACAAATGGCGGCCTCAGACCCTTCTCCTTCAGAGGGGAGCAGAGCGCAGAGGAGTTGCCCAGGGCACCATGCCGGTGGAAGGTGGAAGGCCTCAGGGAGCCCAGCCTGGCTGCCTCTGCTGACCAGGGCAGCGAGCACCACACAGGTGAGGTCCAGGCCGCGGCGAGGACAGCAGGGCAGTTCACAGTTTCTCCACAGGGCCGGCTTCCTGAGTCTGTGTCAAGTCCTGCAACTGGCTCGGGCTATGTTCCCTGTGACTCATTCTGGGCAAATGTGGAGGTTGCTGGGCTTAGCTTCTGAGAAGAGGTCATAAAAGGCATCGTGGCCTCCCTTCTGCAGCCTCACTTGGCTCACTCACCAGGAGGGGTCAGTGACCGCCTAGGAAGTCACTTGAGCTGTTATGTGGAGAAAATTGTGAGCACAGCAATGAAGGTCTTTTGCTACTATCTTGGTTTCTTGATGCCACCATGAAATACCCGATGTGCAAAGTTAAAGGCGGAAAGGTTTCTTTCTACTCACAATTCATGGAGGTTTGGGTCCGTAGTCAGCTGGCTCCAAGGCAGGGAGGCATGGCAGAGGGCGTCACAGAGGAGAATCAGTCATGGTGTGGCAGGCAGGAGGCAGCTAGGCGGCAGCAGCAGCCGTCCTTTCCCTTTTATCTCATCCAGGCTACCGTCTGTGGGGTGCCACCCACACCCACAGGATTTGAACCCAGTAGACGTGGCATCTAGCACTGCCCCATGAATGTGCAAAAGCTGGAGTAATGCTGAATTTTCCACAAGGTGAAAAGATGTCCAACAAAGATCTGCTTTCTCTGCATAATGAATACTTCAGTATTTTGTTTTGAAAAATCAAATTCTTAGCTATCATCATGGTATGACCCTGAAATCCCAGCCCTTGAGAGACCAAAGCCAGAGCATCCTCATGAGTCCGAGGTCAGCTTGAGCCACACAGGGAATTCACGGTCAGTCTGAACTATATAGCAAGATCCTGTCCCTAAAAACCAGGCCTGATGGTGCAGTTCTGAGAAGCCAAAGCAGGAAGAGCAAAAGCTCAAGTCCTACCTGCACAGCTTAGCAACTTAACAAGACCTTGACCCAAGGTAAGACATCAAAAGGGTCACTGGGCATGGTGGCACACACCTGTAATCCCAGGACTCAGGAGCCTGAGGCAGGAGGATCACTTTGAATTCCAGGCCAGCCTGGGCTACATAGCAAGTCCAAGACCAGCCTGAATTACAGAGAGAGAGAGAGAGAGAGAGAGAGACAGAGAGAGAGAGAGACTGTCTCAAACAAACAAACAAACAAAAAAAGGTGAAAGATTAGAGATGTAATTCAATGTGAAAGACTTGGCTTTAATCCCCAGTACTGCAATAAATTTTTTAAAGGCTGGAGAGACAGCTCAGTAGCAGAGCAACCCCCAGGGGTTCAGTCCCCAATACCTCAAAAACATCAAGTTTCCTTCTAAGATTTTCTCCTTTCTCTGCCTCTCTCTCTCTCTCTCTCTCTCTCTCTCTCTCTCTCTCTCTCTGTCTCTCTCTGTCTGTCTCTCTCTGTCTCTCTGTCTCCACCTGCACCTTCATCTCACACACCTCTCTGCAGAGCTTCCCCTGCTTTTCCATACATCCACCCATAAGTGAAATCTTCCCTCTGTCCTGCATTCCTCAGTCTGGAGTCACTTTAATTGCTCAGGAGAGCATTTCTGCCATCTAGCGTTGACACTGTGGTACTAAGAGCAAAAACATTTCGATGTGTGATACACAACACAGAATAATAAACATGACGACTTTATGTCTGTGGTACTGCCTAGTGCATTTCAATGTCTTTCCTGCGTGCTCTCATAGGTAACGACCACACTGTAGATGTTACAAGTAATTTCAGCAGTGGGTTTGTGGAGAAGGAAGGGCGTGCACCTTAAAACAGGAACCACTTCCAGCGTCACAGGATTTGAACCCAAGATGACCTGATTCTGATTTTTGTCTTCCTTCCACCACTCTATACACACATCTCCCAGCGTGATTATTAGTACAAGATTTTAGATGATCTATTTGGGGGGCAGGGGAGAGGGTCACTAAGCTGCCCAGCTGGGCCAGAACTTGCAGTCCTCCCGCTCAGCCCCCCGAGTCTGGAGTTACAGGCCTGTCACTCTGTCAGCTTATGTTTGTAAATATTTTTGTAGATTTTTAAAATTTTTATTTTAAATAGAAAAACAGATAAACAATGAAAATGAGTTTCCAAACACACAATACTCGACACACTGCGTGTTTCTGTCTTGTAGCAGTTACTCAGAGTGCAGGAGATCAGTGTAATAGCTTGTCTAAATAACATTAGCACAAAACCTTCTTTTCAAGGAGCAAACAGAGCCATCTGTGAAACTACCTGAACTATCTTGTATATACATATAATGTTTTCCTTTTATCCATTCTTCCTTTCACCATCATAGTTTTTCTTTTCTTTTGAACAGTTTCTTCCCAAGTCACAATATCTAATGTACATTTTTTTATTTGAAAGAGAAAAAAAGAACAGAAAAATCAAGATGCAAACGAGCCTAAAAAAAAAAACAACAAAAGCAAAATGACAACAACAACAAAACACAATAGCTATACAGGTTTTCAAAACATGATAGGAATTTTTGTGGTTCTTATTTTGCATATTATCTTCAGAATAGTTGCTCAGGTCACCAGATACAGGAGTGAAACAAAACAAAACATTGGATTTTGAGAACAAGACAAGGAAATCCCCAGTCGCCACCATGCACACGGCCATCCTCCCAGTAGATGCCCAGACCACCAGCCCAGGCCTGCAGACAGGCCCAGGGTGGGTTCTGTGGACCTCTTTCCCTCCCGGCGTCCTGCTGAGTTCTCAGGATGTGTGTGCCCACTCTCATTTCATGGAGCCGTGTTTTATTTCATGTAGCTTAACACACACATCACAGGTGCAGCTCGCACTGGTTTATGACTCTCTCCAAGGCTTTTCCAGTAATACTATCAATGCTTTAAGATACAATAATGAGCAATACAGGTGGAAAAACTTTAAAATCCAGAATGGCAGCTCTGAACTAGTGCCTCCTCCCCTCTGGCCCTCTGGCTCCCCAACTGCCCCATCCTCTGGTTTCAGCCCGGCACCCCATGCTGCCTGAGCCCCAGCCCCGCACTGGACCCCCAGTACTGTCAAGCGGAGCCCGTGCTTCTCTTCAGATCTGTCCCAGATCTGTCTCCTGTGCTCCATGGCTTCTGTCCTGAACTCCTATCTGGTATTGCCATCAACTCGAGGAAATGATTGTCTCGTTCTGCTGACTATCTCAACTTAGCCACCACGGCTGCCTCTTCTGTCTCTGCAGTGACCCGGAATTGCTCGCCTCAGGGTGCTGCAGCCCTGCAGATGGTGACGGTCACTGCCCACCCCGATGCTGCAGGAACATCCAACAGGACCGACAGGCCAGGACGGAGGAAGCCAGGGTTTCCTGAGCCAGCAGAGAGGAGTGCAGAGGCCCAGGTGATGGCTGTGACTGCACAGCCAGCCAGCCACAGGGCCACTCTGGACTCAGGTCAGGATCCCCTGAGTACCCTGGATGTCCCCAGCCACCCTCAGTGGCATGGGGAAGGATGGTCCTCTTTGCCATGATCATGCTCTTGCTTGGCAGGAGCAGTAATCAATGGCCCCACACTGTCCTTGGAGAGTACCCCCTGGTGCCCCGTTCCACGGAAGACCAGGTCACCCGGAACGCAGCCTAGGGTTCACTATGGGTCACAGTCAGCAGAGGCAAGGGTCCCCCCAAACCCACTGCTGCCTGGAACCTGGGTGACCATGAGCTGTTTCTCTCCTGGGCAAGCCTGAGCATTAGCTCCGATGGAAGGAAAATAGCTGTCTTTTTGTCACCGCCGCTGCTGCTGTTTTGAGATAGTCTTGCTACATCGCCCAGGCTGGCCTGCAGCACACATGATCCTCCTGCATCCTCTGGGATTACAGGTATGCACCACCAAGGCCACCACATCTTAATGCATGAGGCCTCGGACCTTACCACACTGCCCTGGAGGGATGATGAATTCAGTATTCATCCGCTACAGCAAGTTGTTTCAAGAATATAACATTAGCTTGAAACTATGTGGCAATTATATAAAACTGAGCTTTCTAATTATTCATTAGATTTTTTAATGAGTTCCATTTTATTGACTTGTTAGCTGTACTGTAAATCACGTTTAACTGCTCCCGAGGTGGCGGGTCAGATGGGGAGGCCAGGTGCCCCCTACCTGCATTCCCGCCATGCTCCCGCCTTGGAGCCTCCTGACCGTGGACTGAAGGCTCAGAAGCCAGGAGCCCAGAAAGCTCTGCTGTAGGTTGTGGACTCCACTATTTTGTCCTGACAACAGGAAAGTGCCCAGTGTGACCCCGTGAGAGCCTGGGCCCAGCTTTCGGATCCCTGACCCGAAGACCCTGCACAGTGGGGTGTCTGCCCTCAGCCACTAGCTCAGAGTGTGATTTGCTGTTCCGGGACGAG